TCTCTCACACAGTCACTCTGGCTAGGGTTGTCCTGGGCCCAGCAACTATAAGCTAGAATAAGCTAAGCTACTAGGCTAGGCTACAGGTAAGACTGGCTATGGACTGGGCAGGGGTAGGCTAGGACTAAGCTCTGCTGTGCTGGGCTATGGGCTTTCCTGGGCTGGGATACATACTGAGTCCATGCCTGTTGGTCTGTAAATCTCTGAGAGTGGGGAAGGCTAAACGGAGCAGAACCATAGAGGCATCTATCTATCTATCTATCTATCTATCTATCTATCTATCTATCTATCTATCTATCTATCTATCTATCTATCTATCTATCTATCTATCTGTCTGTCTGTCTGTCTGTCTGTCTGTCTGTCTGTCTGTCTGTCTGTCTGTCTGTCTGTCTGTCTGTCTGTCTGTCTGTCTGTCTGTCTGTCTGTCTGTCTGTCTGTCTGTCTGTCTGTCTGTCTGTCTGTCTGTCTGTCTGTCTGTCTGTCTGTCTGTCTGTCTGTCTGTCTGTCTGTCTGTCTGTCTGTCTGTCTGCCTGCCTGCCTGCCTGCCTGCCTGCCTGCCTGCCTGCCTGCCTGCCTGCCTGCCTGCCTGCCTGCCTGCCTGCCTGCCTGCCTGCCTGCCTGCCTGCCTGCCTGCCTGCCTGCCTGCCTGCCTGCCTGCCTGCCTGCCTGCCTGCCTGCCTGCCTGCCTGCCTGCCTGCCTGCCTGCCTGCCTGCCTGCCTGCCTGCCTGCCTGCCTGCCTGTCTGTCTGTGACCATAAAAGCCCTCTCTTTCTCTCGATGGCCACACTATTGAGCCCCATTGACTGTTTAATTGGAAAGCTATTTATTACTGGTCTCCTTTGGCCACAATACTGTTTAACTCACCATTGCAATGCCTTGAGTGGTCTGTGGTGGGTTTATGTAGTATATCTCTGTGGTGGGTTTATGTAATATATATCTGTGGTGGGTTTATGTAGTATATCTCTGTGGTGGGTTTATGTAGTATATCTCTGTGGTGGGTTTATGTAATATATATATGTGGTGGGTTTATGTAGTATATCTCTGTGGTGGGTTTATGTAATATATATCTGTGGTGGGCTTATGTAGTATAACTCTGTGGTGGGTTTATGTAATATATATCTGTGGTGGGTTTATATAGTATATCTCTGTGGTGGGTTTATGTAATATATCTCTGTGGTGGGTTTATGTAGTATATCTCTGTGGTGGGTTTATGTAATATATCTCTGTGGTGGGTTTATGTAATATATCTCTGTGGTGGGTTTATGTAGTATATCTCTGTGGTGGGCTTATGTAATATATCTCTGTGGTGGGCTTATGTAATATATCTCTGTGGTGGGCTTATGTAATATATCTCTGTGGTGGGTTTATGTAATATATCTCTGTGGTGGGTTTATGTAATATATCTATGTGGTGGGTTTATGTAATATACAGTGGGGGAAAAAAGTATTTAGTCAGCCACCAATTGTGCAAGTTCTCCCACTTAAGAAGACCAGAGAGGCCTGTAATTTTCATCATAGGTTCACGTCAACTATGACAGGCAAAATGAGAAAAAAAAATCCAGAAAATCACATTGTAGGATTTTTTATGAATTTATTTGCAAATTATGGTGGAAAATAAGTATTTGGTCAATAACAAAAGTTTCTCAATACTTTGTTTTATACCCTTTGTTGGCAATGACACAGGTCAAACGTTTTCTGTAAGTCTTCACAAGGTTTTCACACACTGTTACTGGTATTTTGGCCCATTCCTCCATGCAGATCTCCTCTAGAGCAGTGATGTTTTGGGGCTGTCGCTGGGCAACATGGACTTTCAACTCCCTCCAAAGATTTTCTATGGGGTTGAGATCTGGAGACTGGCTAGGCCACTCCAGGACCTTGAAATGCTTCTTACGAAGCCACTCCTTCGTTGCCCGGGCGGTGTGTTTGGGATCATTGTCATGCTGAAAGACCCAGCCACGTTTCATCTTCAATGCCCTTGCTGATGGAAGGAGGTTTTCACTCAAAATCTCACGAAACATGGCCCCATTCATTCTTTCCTTTACACGGATCAGTCGTCCTGGTCCCTTTGCAGAAAACAAGCCCCAAAGCATGATGTTTCCACCCCCATGCTTCACAGTAGGTATGGTGTTCTTTGGATGCAACTCAGCATTCTTTGTCCTCCAAACATGATGAGTTGAGTTTTTACCAAAAAGTTCTATTTTGGTTTCATCTGACCATATGACATTCTCCCAGTCCTCTTCTGGATCATCCAAATGCACTCTAGCAAACTTCAGACGGGCCTGGACATGTACTGGCTTAAGCAGGGGGACACGTCTTGCACTGCAGGATTTGAGTCCCTGGCGGCGTAGTGTGTTACTGATGGTAGGCTTTGTTACTTTGGTCCCAGCTCTCTGCAGGTCATTCACTAGGTCCCCCCGTGTGGTTCTTGGTTTTTTGCTCACCGTTCTTGTGATCATTTTGACCCCACGGGGTGAGATCTTGCGTGGAGCCCCAGATCGAGGGAGATTATCAGTGGTCTTGTATGTCTTCCATTTCCTAATAATTGCTCCCACAGTTGATTTCTTCAAACCAAGCTGCTTACCTATTGCAGATTCAGTCTTCCCAGCCTGGTGCAGGTCTACAATTTAGTTTCTGGTGTCCTTTGACAGCTCTTTGGTCTTGGCCATAGTGGAGTTTGGAGTGTGACTGTTTGAGGTTGTGGACAGGTGTCTTTTATACTGATAACAAGTTCAAACAGGTGCCATTAATACAGGTAATGAGTGGAGGACAGAGGAGCCTCTTAAAGAAGAAGTTACAGGTCTGTGAGAGCCAGAAATCTTGCTTGTTTGTAGGTGACCAAATACTTATTTTCCACCATAAATTAGAAATAATTTAATAGAAAATCCTACAATGTGATTTTCAGGATTTTTTTTTCTCAATTTGTCTGTCATAGTTGACGTGTACCTATGATGAAAATTACAGGCCTCTCTCATCTTTTTAAGTGGGAGAACTTGCACAATTGGTGGCTGACTAAATACTTTTTTTCCCCACTGTATCTCTGTGGTGGGTTTATGTAATATATCTCTGTGGTGGGCTTATGTAATATATCTCTTTGGTGGGCTTATGTAATATATCTCTGTGGTGGGTTTATGTAATATATATATGTGGTGGGTTTATGTAATATATCTCTGTGGTGGGTTTATGTAGTATATCTCTGTGGTGGGCTTATGTAATATATCTCTGTGGTGGGTTTATGTAGTATATCTCTGTGGTGGGCTTATGTAATATATCTCTGTGGTGGGCTTATGTAATATATCTCTGTGGTGGGCTTATGTAATATATCTCTGTGGTGGGCTTATGTAATATATCTCTGTGGTGGGCTTATGTAGTATATCTCTGTGGTGGGCTTATGTAATATATCTCTGTGGTGGGCTTATGTAATATATCTCTGTGGTGGGCTTATGAAATATATCTCTGTGGTGGGCTTATGTAATATATCTCTGTGGTGGGTTTATGTAATATATCTCTGTGGTGGGCTTATGTAATATATCTCTGTGGTGGGCTTATGTAATATATCTCTGTGGTGGGCTTATGTAATATATCTCTGTGGTGGGCTTATGTAATATATCTCTGTGGTGGGCTTATGTAATATATCTCTGTGGTGGGCTTATGAAATATATCTCTGTGGTGGGCTTATGTAATATATCTCTGTGGTGGGCTTATGTAATATATCTCTGTGGTGGGTTTATGTAATATATCTCTGTGATGGGCTTATCTAGTATATCTCTGTCAGTGGAGGCTGCTGAGGGGAGGACGTGGTTGATACCATTCCACTGACTTCATTCCAGCCATTATTATGAGCCGTCCTCCCCTCAACAGCCTCCACTGATCTCTGTGGTGGGCTTATGAAATATATCTCTGTGGTGTGCTTATGTAATATATCTCTGTGGTGGGTTTATGTAATATATCTCTGTGGTGGGCTTATGTAATATATCTCTGTGGTGGGTTTATGTAATATATCTCTGTGGTGGGCTTATGTAATATATCTCTGTGGTGGGGTTATGTAATATATCTCTGTGGTGGGTTTATGTAATATATCTCTGTGGTGGGCTTATGTAATATATCTCTGTGGTGGGCTTATGAAATATATCTCTGTGGTGGGCTTATGTAATATATCTCTGTGGTGGGCTTATGTAATATATATCTGTGGTGGGCTTATCTAGTATATCTCTGTCAGTGGAGGCTGCTGAGGGGAGGACGTGGTTGATACCATTCCACTGACTTCATTCCAGCCATTATTATGAGCCGTCCTCCCCTCAACAGCCTCCACTGATCTCTGTGGTGGGCTTATGTAGTGTATCTGCTGGCTAAGGCATCTGGCTGGTTAGAGCAGGGTTATATTCATTAGGGCAAACGACAGCAAAATGTTTTGAAACGGAAGTCGAAAAACAAGCTTTTCTTATTGGACGAGTGCAGGTAGTCCTTCCCTGTTTGACTCCGTTTTCTTCCGTTTTATTAGGATCCCCATTAGCTGTTGCCAAAGCAGCAGCTACTCTTCCTGGGGTCCACACAAAACATGACATAATACAGAACATTAATAGACAATAACAGCTCAAGGACAGAACTACATAAACAATCTTTTAAAGGCACACGTAGCCTACATATCAACACATACACACAAACTCTCTAGGTCAGATAGGGGAGAGGCGGTGTGCCGTGAGGTGTTGCTTTATCTGTTTTTTGAAACCAGGTTTGCTGTTCATTTGAGCAATATGAGATGGAACGGAGTTCCATGCAATAATGGCTCTAAATAATACTGTATGCTTTCTTGAATTTGTTCTGGATTTGGGGACTGTGAAAAGAGGAGTTTACACTTTGAAGGGTACCTCCAGTACTGTACTGCACTGTGCCTAGCAGGAGTTAAAGGATGGAGGATTATGGCTAGCTGGGCTATGGCTATGGTGTGTTAGCTAAGTACATTACATAACATGTGTTGTGTCGTAGCATCTCTCGTCTTAGTGTTCAGCCTAGCATCTGCCTGTGCTGCTCAGAGAGACAAGAACATTGTCTGACTGGGTGTTCTGTGATATACTGGCTGCTGTGGGGCATCAATGTGTGTTTCTGAATCCGGCCGTTCATCCTTTGGTAACAACTACACATATTGTCAATGAAAGAGGTGAGGGAGGGAGGGGTACACACACATGCACATACATACGTACGTATGCACACACACACACACACCCCTCCTCTGCAGTCAAAGCTGCGTCAGGCAGGTTACATAACTCAGCCAAGTGAGTGAGAGAGAGAGAAAGAGAGAGATAGTCGGAGGGAGGGAGGAATAGGAGAGTATGGTGTAGGGGGGATTGAATGAGAGAGGAAGGAAGGAGTAGGATGGATAAAGGGATAGAGGTGAGAACGACAGAGGAGAATAGTATTGACGTCTACTGCAAAGCTTCACATACACTGTTTCCACCCCGCTGAGCCACACACACACACTCCTCTGAAGCATGATGGCACTGTGCAGAGCATCGGAGCATCACACAGGCAGCTCTCTCAGTTCACAGTTGACTGTGTTTGTACATGCTGCTGCTGTCTCTGCTCTGCTGGCTGTGGCTGCTTTGAGCCCCAGGTAACAAACCACTCAGGGCACAGCCCAATGTCTCTTCAGCACCAGCCCTATCATGACAGTCCTACCTCCCCAGCCCAAGCCAATCCAAGCCCCAGCTTTTGATACAGTCCAATACCTCAGCACCAGCACAACACTGCCGCCTGCAAAATACATATTTTATATATATATATATATATATATATATATATATATATATATATATATATATATATATATATATATATTTCATTGACAGAACAGTGCGGGGGTATCATAAAGTAGTATCTCAGACACTGAAGTGGCCGAGATGGGGCTCAGACCCCCTGCCACAAGGGGTATATGTGAGTTGGGAGGGCTTACCACTATGCCCTAGTTAAGACCTAGTCCCAGGTTCCCATCTTCCATAGACACATACATGGCTGTCCATCAAACAGCCAGCCCCTCAGCCCCAGTCCTGGGCTGGCCCAAGCCTCCAAAACAGCACTAACAGTGTTCCTCTCCTTCTCTCCCTCTCTGATCATCCCTGAAAAAGCCTTTTAGCAGTGCTTTCCTAGCCGTCTCTCTCCACTCCCTCCCTAAACTTCTAGAGGGGAGAGTCTGCAGTGCTATCCCTCGCCCTATTGAACCTCACTTCAGTCAGAGCAGGATAAACACAGGGAGTCAATGAGAGAGGACCGACTCACTACCGCCACCTCTTGTTGAGGAGAGGAATGACAACCAAATACAGCACGAGATAACACAAGAGAAGAAAAGGGGCTGTTTTGGTGTTTGTGTGTGTTTGTGTGTGTGTAAAAACATACACACATAAACAGACAACAACAACAGTGTCTAGTAGATAGACGAGACAGACAGAGACTTGTCTGATTAGAAGTGTGTTTGTGTGTGTGTATTTACATTTTTTGTCATTTATGAGACACTCTTATCCAGAGCGAATTACAGCATTAGTGTCTATATTTATCCACAACAGAGCACTCAAGAACACCCACACAGGAAGGAATTAGGCAGCACATCACTGATGACATAATCACGCTGTACCCAGAAAATAATGGGATTGCACAATATGTTTGTTTCATATGGGGCACTGGCCAGCTCCTGCAAATGCACACGCCTGAACACAATAATACACACACATGCACGCACGTAAAATAACGCACATAAGCGTGTGCGCGCACACACACTAACACACACCAAAATAGGGGACAGTAGAGCATTTAACCCTTTACACACTGTGCACTGACACCCTTTAATATAATATATAATATAATATTTACATTTAGCAGACGCTCTTATCCAGAGCGACTTACATAATAGGCCATTTAGCAGACACTTTTATCCAAAGCGACTTACAGTCATGTATGCATACATTTTTACGTATGGGTAGTCCCGGGGATCGAACCCACTACCCTGGCGTTACATTTACATTTAAGTCATTTAGCAGACGCTCTTATCCAGAACGACTTAGAGGAGCAATTAGGGTTAAGTGCCTTGCTCAAGGGCACCGACAGATTTTTCACCTAGTCGGGCTCAGGGATTAGAACCAGCGACCTTTCGGTTACTGGCACAACGCTCTTACCCACTAAGCTACCTGCCGCCCTATTACAAGCGCCATGCTCTACCAATTGAGCTACAGAGGACCACCCATACGTAAAAATGGTATAAGACTATTTCTCATCTAAAATAACAGTGACCTTTAATTTACTGTCAACAACACTCACCTTATTGCCCCGCCAGAAGGACTGGAGGAGAACAGCAGCCTGCTGGTCTGACAGCAGTAGGGAGAGAGGGATGGGAGGCCTGGGACTGGGAGAGGGAAGAGAGGGGGGGATGGAGAGAGGAGAGGGCAGCGTGTGAGTCACCTCTGTTCATAAGGGCAGCATCAGCCTAAGGTGCAAGTTTGTGTTACTGTGTGTGTGTGTGTGTGTGTGTGTGTGTGTGTGTGTGTACATGCATACATAATATGTGTGATTTCTGAGATGACCTTCTTGCTCTGTTTGTGTTTGCGTCTACACTTTATTAAGTCTCCTGCAACTCACTGTATCCTGAGCCAGTCCTTGACGAATGGGATCTCATGGAAGTCCACAGGGGCCTGTCCCTGCCGGCGGGGGTTCCGACTACAGTGGGAGAGAAGAAAAGGCTTTGGAACCGACAGTAGCAGACAGAAGATTGAGCTTAGTTTCACACAAAGACAAACTACAGTCATAGTTGCGTAACACCAATCCATTTTTAGAGACAGAAAAAAAAAAAATTTTTAAATGTTAAAAGCAATGGCTTAGCACTCAGAAGACAAAGAGGTGGCAGAAAGTTCAGAGACATTGTCAAAGCTTTTTACTAAATCAACTGAGAATGGAAGAGAGCAAAGAGGGCAGGCAGGCAGACAGGCAGGCAGGCAGGCAGGCAGGCAGGCATTCTTACTTATACAGCCACTCAGTTAGGAAGTCACAAGCGTTGAATGCTGTTATTTTCCTCTAAAACAGGTAAAAGGATCACAGTGTTACTGTGGTGTAATAATCTGCAGAGCTCTACAGAAGTAGGCTACAGTATAATCATCATGATCATAGTATAATCAGTGCTTGAAGTGGGATTAAATAAGTCCTAGTACTAGTTTTGGGTGTTGGTATTCATCACATGTTAGAGACAGTTGTTTTATGTAGTACTGTTACAGGAAGCAAACTATTAAAATACTGTAGTGTATTGTAGTTTGGTGGTCTGTAGTGTTCTGCAGGGCCACATTGATGTCTAGTAAATGTCCATTATATCATGTTAGTGTTATTGTGTGACATAGACCTAGTGCCAGTACCTCCAGGCAGTGTTGTCTCTGGGCCTCTCTCAGCATGGCCTCCAGTCCAGGCAGTAGCACTGGGAACACGGACCCCTCCAGGAACTGGGTGATTGGGCCTGGGGCAGACATGGGAATGGATCAACACAAGTGGGGGAAGAGTGGCCTTTCTGCCATGCAAGGGAACATCTCACTCCAAATGTAGCCTAAAACACTGTTATGGTACTATTATTGGGGAGTAAAATCGAGACAGACTTGAAACATTGTTATCCTCTACTGTGCTTAGAGTGTTAATTAAGCAAGAAAGTATTGTTCCTGATAAAAGCATAGATTATGTGTAGGGATTGAGGGGGAAGAGCATTATCGGGTCTTGCACCAGAAACACTGAGGCTACAGGACACTAGCCTACTTCCTGTGCCATAAACTTTGAGACCTCTTGGCAGAGGCCATAGTATGTTTAGCACATACAAAGAAGCTACAGTTTTAAGTTTGAAACTCACGTTGATGGAGCTGGGGAGTGGATGCAGGGTGTGTGGTCAGAGGCTGTCTGCGACAGGAGGATGGAGGTTTGTCCAAGGCAGAGTATCCAGCAAGGGCAGGGTGGCTCAGAAGAGGGTCAAAATGTTTCACAGGGTCATCATCCACAGCAACCTAGAAAGCCATACAGCACCATTTAGACAAACATATCGTTTTTTTTGTTTGTTTGTTTTTTACAAATGAATTGTATTTACTCAAGTGCAATTATAGTTGGCCGCCTTACCTTAGCTGCCAGGAGACCATAGAAGACAGGAGTGTGCTTGCTGGCGCTGTACTTGGAGACATGAGTGCTCATTTTGAACCACTGTCTGTCCAAGCAGCGCTTGGTGGACTGGGCTGCTCCGACTCATATTCTGGTTGCACAGAACAATGAAAACGAAATATTCGTGCCTATTTTAGTCGATAACATGCATACCGGTATTTTCAATTAACTCTCAAGCGAAGCATACCTTACCACAGACTTGTTGCCACAATGATTTCTTAGCACCGATCATTTTTGCCATTTTGAGGCAGTTGCTAAGAACGCATTGCTGGTTGTCAAGGAAAAACGTATCTTCCTACTTCCGGTTTTTAAAAAAAACAATTACAAGGAATATTTGGGATTAAGTACACATTTATCTGAACCCAAAAAACTAATTATAAACACCATTAGAAAATATGTATAATGGCACAACAAGTCTTTAAAATAAACCAATGGCTAACAAGTACGGGCTGTTCCTAGAAGAATCTCCCACCTCAGCACTGGAGGGCAGCAGCTACAGCTGACTCAGACAGACAGAAGCGATGAGGGAGTTTTATTACACTGGCCCGAGTTAAATTAGGCAAAGCCCAGTCACATCATCGGGACGCTCAGTCATGTTGTCAACAAGGCAGCATGGTGCATCGTCCAGCAACATACAACATATTTTCCATAAAATAAATGTTTGAATTTTCTAACTAGTTTTAATTGGGAAGGGAGATAAAGCGTTTTTATCAAAAGCAATCCATTTTGCATGTGAAAACACAGAATCCTACTCATCACAGTTAGTTACATTACTTTTGTTTTGAGCCGACTTTGCGGTCGGCCATAGCGGGACACCTGGCTCACGCCCGGGAGGCAGCCCGATTCCAAATCGAATGCAATCAACGCTAACACGATCGACTCGGGTCATGCCCGGGGCATTAATAAAACTCCCTCATTTCTACTTATGATCTACTCTGTATTTTGAGCAATGAAGCTTATAATAACTTGGTTATATCAAAGGCCATTTGAATTACGATTCATGTGGTGGGCGTATAAGCTTATAATACAACTAAAAATGGTGATCAGAAGAAAAGCCCTCAAACTCAACTCTGGACCTCAAAGCCAGTTCCTCTGCATTTTTTTCCATCAGGGACTGATTTCGACCCGGGACACCCAGTGTGTGCAATTAATTATAAGGTAGAACAGCAACCAGCAGGCTCCGGACCTCGTAGGGTAAGAGTTGAGTACCCCTGCCCTATAGTGATCTCTTATTCTAAGGGTATTCACCATCGAATGCATGGGTGTCAAACTCATTCCATGGAGGGCCTTCTGTCTACAGGTTTTTGTTTATTCATTTCAATTAAGCCCTAGACAACCAGGTGAGGGGAGTTCTTTACTAATTAGTAAGCTTGACTCATCAACCCAGATGTGACCCCAAATAATGAAGCTTTTAAATAAAAAAACAATACAGTCTTTATTAGGTAAAATATCACATGCATCAAAAGCTCTCGAAATGTAATTCTTTAGGAATATATTCCAAATGCGGTTTAGCTATCTCAGGATGACAGCGGCGACAAAACCAAAAAATATTTATTGAAAAACAAATGAAAAACAAATCTGTACTGTCCCAAGATGTTTCCAAAATGCACTGAAAAGCTTTTTGATAAAAACACATTGCACCAAGTCCTATCTTGCAGTAACTAATTATCTTTAAAATAAATAGGATCATGAAATAATTTTCTGTACATTTAGACTTGCCGGTCCACACAAAAAAACAAATGTATAGCTACCCCACCTATTTTTTCCCCACAGATTGTGAGGACTTGTGCAACACACATTTCATTTACAAGCTGTAACAGGCATCATTTGTCATTATTTTCAACAAATAATGTAAAAGTCAAACATAATTACACGTACAACGGGTAATAACAATAATAATAGAAATATGAACAATAATGACAAGGTGTACCCTTTTTTCATAAAGCAACACTGATAAAATCCGATTTTTAAAAGGACCAACTATTAACAATGAAAAATATACAGATTACATTCCTGCAGGGAGTAGAAGGGATAATATGCTATCCGGGATCCTTGGGATGTCTATCTTAACCTTAACCATACCCCTTACCTAACCCTAACCCTAACCTCAACTTCAATGGGGTGACGGCAGAGTTGGGACATCCCAAGGATCCCGTTTAGACATTTCCCGGAGTAGAAGCCCTAGTAGAGGATGTTATAATGACTGTGCAAGGAGCAGCCAAACCATTGGCTCTCTGCCCTAGAAGAAGCCAAACCATTAGCTGTCAGTCTCATTCTCGTTAACACTCTCCTGTCTGGACTCCACAGAGCTTTAGGGCCAAATGTTAACTTGAGATACATGTATCATCTCATTAAAAGCCTGTCCATGTGTGAAACATTTTCTATAGGAGAGAGATAGAGCTTAGTTTTGATGGCTGTGTGGATGCATAAAATCATTGCGAATGGGTAGTGTTGTTGATTCCAGAGAACGGTAGCAGTCCTGTCTGTGTCTTGCGAGTGTCCACTGACCACATTAGCTGGCCCTGCAGACTGACCAGCCAACAGCAGCAGAGAGAAGTCGATTTGGATCAAGAGAAGAGAGAGAGGCCTATACAGTGTCATTTAGGCCCAGTTCTGTGGCTTTGATTCTGAAAATCAATCAGAATCCACAAGGGGTCACCAAAGAAACATCCAATTCAAAATAAAACATGATTAAAACACCAACCAAAACAGACATGATGTGTAAGGAAATAAAAAAAGATGTGTGTAATCTGTTTCCATCTCGAGGTCACAGACTCCTGTGGTTGTGTGAGAGGGGCAGAGGAAAATGCTCCTCCAAAAACCAAAGGGTTTTGACCTGGAGGGCTAATTCAGTGCAAGAGCAGGTTTAAGGAGGGGGGACTGGGACCGAGCTTCTTCCACCTTCACTCTTCTCTTCTCTTTCACATTCCCTGACGTTTCATTACAGTTCATTCTTTCATTCTTTTATCATTTCAGTACTGAGTAAAACAAAAAAACTCCCCCTTGGACACATTCTATCATAAATCAAACACCCATCCCGACACTTCTGAAGTTCCTCGTCTATATAAAAAATGTCTCGTTTTTCCCAGCCCCCTCCATTTAGAAAATATGTCCAGTACTATATACAGATAGGATGATATGTATGTCTCTGTTGACTGGCAGTTCAAATTGCTGCCATCCTCCCTCACTGGATGCGTGGTTCTCCATGGACTCTGAAGCGGTAGAGGCAGGTGTACTCGGGGTGACCCCAGTTGGTCAGCACCCGCACCTCGATGATCTGGAAGGCCCTGTCGTTCTTCTCCTGGAGGGAAGGAAGAGACATAGTAAGGAGTGATAAGTATTGGATCTCAAAGTATCTGATTTTTACAACGATTTTTGACAAAGTAAAAAAAGAGCCAGAGAGAGGTCAGAGGGTCAGTGGTTGTATGTAGGATGGTGAGAGGTTTTTGTGTGTGTTTGTTGGCACATGCACATGAGTGTGTAGAAATTGATGTCATTTCTTGTGTTTACCATGACAGGGAAGTTCTGCATTGAGTCTCCGTTCTCCTGGTAGGTGTATTGACCCAACAGCTTTCCCTCCTCCTGATACTCATCATCCAGACCCTGAAAACACACAGAAACCAGTCAGTGATGTCAGGCAGGAGATTGAGGCTGAGCAGTGAGAGTACCAGTCTAAACACTACTGACGCTGAGACCATAGATAGCACCTGACCAATAGAAGGCATTCCATGTAGTTGCTGATATTGCCAGTAGGTAGGCATGTGTGTGTCTTACGTATACTGTGAAGTTGCGCGGGGCGCTGGCGATGTTGCTGGTAGGGGACAGGGCCTTGGGGATGTGCTCCAGACAGAAGGCTGTGGGGAGGATCCTTAGGGACAACCGGATGACCAGGTAACCATGAGAACCTTTAAACGCCCAGCAGTTCCCTGGATACACATCAGGCTGAGGGAAGGAAGGAGGGAAGGAGGGAAGGAAGGAAGGAAAGAGGAAGGAAGGAAGGAAGGAAGGAAGGAAGGAAGGAAGGAAGGAAGGAAGGAAGGAAGGAAGGAAGGAAGGAAGGAAGGAAGGAAGGAAGGAAGGAAGGAAGGAAGGAAGGAAGGAAGGAAGAAGAGTTGGAGAAAAGACGATGGGCGGAGGGAGGGAGAGAGAGATAGTAAGACATGTTAGAATCACTGATAAATGTCTTCTAATCAGTCTCAACAAGATAATCCCTGTCCTGTTCAAATGTACTTGACTAATGAAGTAATTGTTGAAATAACACTTTTCAACATTTGCTGTTATCTACAAATAAAAACACTGATTAAGAGGAAACAATGTCCCCTGGTGGTGTTGAAAATGAAAGCATCTTTGAAGAATATCTTTATTGAATCAGTGTCTTCTAAGCAGCTCAGCAGTTATTCCTGGATTGCAGCTATTGTTGGAATGTGTTTTTATTTGTACACTGCCTTTGTGACCGGAACAATAAAGCTTCTGAACGTTTGAAATGGAGAGCTCACCTGGATGGCAACGCGGGGTGACTGGGAGAAGTACCAGAGGGGCACGCTGAACAGACTCATGAGGGCCGTCTTGGTCTCGTACGTCTCCGAGCAGCGCGTACTTAGGATGCTACCACCTGACCGCACAGACACATGACCATGTTACATCAGAACCACAGTTCAACCACAACAGTGTCCTTTCTATTTCTACCCAAGAAGAAGACCACATTGGAAATACAAGTCTTAAGGTTTATAAGTGTTATCTTCTGGGAATAAGTGGATCTTCATCTTTTTTATCAACCAATCAATTAATTAATCAATCAACGAATGAAAGAATGGGGGAAAGAAATACATTCTTATTCGATCTTAGGCCCAAATGTTTATATGAGTTAGAAATCCTAATGCCTGAACCACACCTCTGGGGTGGGGAAACTGTATTGAAAAGCCATTTGACCATACACAGGGATAATGCAATAAAACACACAACATACATGATATAATACTAACACACACACACATCAAAATACAACACACAGACAAACGTCACAGACCACTCAGTTCATCTGGCTACTAATCTGATCTGTGGTGTATCTAATGGATCCCCCTGTGCCTGTCCAATCCATACAGGCCATTAGAATGACAGACAGGCTTGTTGTCCATGGAGACAGACAACCTGAGCTTTGGCCTCTAAAGCTCTACTACCCTCTTCACTACTGATATACAGTACCATTCATACTGAAATGGCACACTATTCCCTTATTGCACTACTTTTGACCTGGCACCCTATTCCCTTTATAGTGCACTACTTTTGTCCTGGTCAAAAGTAGGCACCCTATTCCCTTTATAGTAGGGCACTATATAGGGAATAGGGTGCCATTTGGGATGCACCCTCGGGGCTGGCTGCTGTATAGTTATGTAACGCTAGGCTAACAGCTAGGCTAATCCTTCCCATTGAACCACCATCATGGAGCTGGCTCTAACCCACAGGGTGGTTCTGTTCATGGACATGTCAACAGGCTGGTTCTAACCCACAGGGTGGTTCTGTTCATGGACATGTCAACAGGCTGGTTCTAACCCACAGGGTGGTTCTGTTCATGGACATGTCAACAGGCTGGTTCTAACCCACAGGGTGGTTCTGTTCATGGACATGTCAACAAGCTGGTTCTAACCCACAGGGTGGTTCTGTTCATGGACATGTCAACAGGCTGGCTCTAACCCACAGGGTGGTTCTGTTCATGGACATGTCAACAGGCTGGTTCTAACCCACAGGGTGGTTCTGTTCATGGACATGTCAACAGGCTGGTTCTAACCCACAGGGTGGTTCTGTTCATGGACATGTCAACAAGCTGGTTCTAACCCACAGGGTGGTTCTGTTCATGGACATGACAACAGGCTGGCCCTAACCCACAGGGTGGTTCTGTTCATGGACATGTCAACAGGCTGGTTCTAACCCACAGGGTGGTTCTGTTCATGGACATGTCAACAAGCTGGTTCTAACCCACAGGGTGGTTCTGTTCATGGACATGACAACAGGCTGGCTCTAACCCACAGGGTGGTTCTGTTCATGGACATGTCAACAAGCTGGTTCTAACCCACAGGGTGGTTCTGTTCATGGACATGTCAACAAGCTGGTTCTAACCCACAGGGTGGTTCTGTTCATGGACATGACAACAAGCTGGTTCTAACCCACAGGGTGGTTCTGTTCATGGACATGACAACAGGCTGGCCCTAACCCACAGGGTGGTTCTGTTAATGTAAACAGAGTGAGAGGCCTCTCTTTACCTCCAGACTCCAGGGCGTAGTCCACTAGGCCCGTCCGATCCTGGGAGTAGAGTTTCAGGGCATTCTGGACGATCAGCTGCACTTGCTGGGGGAGAGAGTGGCAGGGACGGGGGTTAAGATGTGTGTATGGTGGGATACCTTTTGCAGAGACTCTGCTGTGCAACTTCACACACGACTCCTAGTCTCATTGACAATGACCACCTAACAGTCATCATATAGTGAAAGTACATCATATAGGAAGGAGATGGTTTCCAAGACCCAAATTAAACCTACTCCTGGTCCACTATTCACAAAGCAGTATCAGAGTAGTAGTGCTGAATGATCTAGGATCAGTTTTGCCTTTTAGATCATAATGAATAAGGTTATATGGTCAGATCCTAGATCAGCACTCCTACTCTGAGACACTTTGTGGATACGGACCGTGAAGTCAAAAGCATGCTCTATGGAGAACCTGGGTCCAGGAAACCGGTCCATCTTCATGAAATAAAGCATGATAATAAAGTTGTTCCGATGTTCTGATGAGTGCGTGAAGCACTGGGTTAACAACAACAAAGAGTCCCTATAGTGGAGTATGTGTTGTACCTCCTCAGACAGTCCCTCGCCCACGGCGGTATGTTGGACACTCTGTGTAATAGACTGGGTCTGGGTGGTGATGACTGCAGCCCTGGCCTCAGCCTCCGTGTGGGCCTCGGCCCTGCTCTGTTCCAGCTGCAGAGACACGTTCCTCAGGATGCTGAGCTCCAGGGAGGCCAGGAGGGCCTGCAGGTCGGCCCCGCTCACGTAGCGCGACGACAGCCACTGGAGGAGACCCTCTGGGATGTCTGGTTCTCCCTGGTGGGCCTGGTCGTCAGAGCCGTAGAACAGGGCCCGCAGCTTCCGCCTCACCTGGGCTGACACCTGGGTAGACACCTGGGAGGGAGAGGTGAGAGAGAGGGAGAGGTGAGACAGACAATGTGTGAGGGGCTGTAACTGCAGAATATATATACCCTCATGTATAATTAAGCAATAAGGCCCGAGGGGGTGTGGTATATGGCCAATTAACCACGGCTAAGGGCTGTTCTTAGGCCCCACGCAACACGGAGTAACTGGATACAGCCCTTAGCCGTGGTATATTGGCCATATACCACAAACCCCCCGAGGTGCCTTATTGCTATTATAAACTGGTTACCAATGTAATTAGAAAAAAACAAATGTTTTGTCATACCCGTGGTATACGGTCTGATATACCACGGCTGTCAGACAATCAGCATTCAAGGCTCGAACAACCCAGTTTATAAGTTCAGTTCAATAACAGCACAGTACAGTACAGGCTGTCATTTGGAAGAATTGCATTATATTGCAAAGGTAATGTACAACTACTATAATAAAGACTAGCTATATCAGCTCTAGGTATAGTAAACACTAAAAGCAGTAAACAGACAATTGTCTTTCATTCTCACCGTTTCCTGGATTGTGTCCAGCTGCTCACATTTCCCCTGACATCCCATCACCCCCTGCAGGTCGCCCCTGATCCGACCCAGCTCCGCCTCCAGCCTCTGCACCTCCGCCAGCAAAGCATCATGGGCCTCCTGGTCCACACGCACACTGAGGGGGAGAAAAGAGAGAGAGAGAGAGAGTAAGAAAGAGAGAGAGTCTCTATTACACTTGCTTAGGTTTGCCTAATTCGTCTAACTTTCCCCAAAATCCCCCATTTTCCAGAAATCCAGGTTAGAAGATTTCCCGACTTCTTGCTTTTCCCTCCTGATTCCAGGAATCTTCTAACCGGCATTTCTGGAAAACCTGGGAATTTTGAGAAACTGACGATTCTGCAACCCTGCATGCTGTAAAAAAATGAACTCCAATACACTGTCTCTATTGTTTGATCTAATAATGGACCACTTAGACCAATGTTTCAGTCATAAGACCTTCATTGGGTTTAAACATTTGTTTTGGTGATCCATTAAAACATTGTGGGGCAAATGAAGAGAATCAGTGTGCAAGAGTTTCTTTCACGATGAAATGGAGAGCAGTTGTAAACCGTAGAAAAGTCCTGCACTATATAATCCAGGCTCTGCTGTAGCCGGCCGCAACCGGGAGACCAATGGGGCGGCGCACAATTGGCCCAGCGTCGTCCAGGGTAGGGGAGGGAATGGCAGGCAGGGAGGTAGCTCAGTTGATAGAGCATGGCGTTTGCAACGCCAGGGTTGTGGGTTCGATTCCCACGAGGGGGCCAGTATGAAAATAATAATGTATGCACTAACTGTAAGTCGCTCTGGATAAGAGCGTCTGCTAAATGACGTAAATTTAATGTAAATGTAAAAAATAATCTACGGAGGTTAACCCAGTGACAGTGAACCTACCTGACAGGGACAGAGGCAGGTCTGGTTGTCTCCTTCTCTGGTTGCCGTTTCTGTTGCACCGCCTGAAATACAACCTCATTCAAATGTACAGTACTGTAATATAAATGAATGACCAATAAGCTACATACAGCATGTGTTGGCGTGAACACTTTCAGCACGGGCATGTATGTCATCACAATTAACCTAAATGGACAGGGACATGCTGACTCCTGTGTATCAGACGACTAGACTTGTATGAGTGTGTGTCATACTGTATGTATTCAAATTAACTGCCTGAGGGGACGTATGTATGGACTGGTGCTTATTCAGATCAGCTGCCAGAACCGGAATGTTCCTGTATGTATTCCTATGCGTGGGTCTTGTATGTGTCAGTCAGTAATAAGCGTGTGAGACTGTACCTCAAGCTTAGCTGTTAGCCTGCTAAGATCTAGTGGTGTTCAGATGAGCTGTGGAGGTAACCTATGGTCCTGGATGTATTCATTTGATCTCACAGGGTTTAATTCATAGTCTGGTGTGCATTTCCCATAGACCATTTCCTCAGTCTCAAATTTCATGACATGTAACTGGTCCTGTATGTATTGGGATATGTAGGTAATGTGGTATAGTGTTACCTCAGTTTTAGAAGCCAGGACCTGCAGCAGCACCTCCAGCTCAGCTAGCCGTGTCTCCTGACTCTGCTGCTGCTGAACCCTCTGCTCCTCAGTCTGCACAGGAGAGACGGAGGAGGGAGGGAGGAGAGAATGGAGGAGAGAGGGAGGAGATAGGGAGGAGGGAGAGAAAGAGAGGAGGGAGGGAAAAAGAAAAGGTCACCCAGAAGTAAACAGTAAGGAATTCAGTAATAAGTAATAGGGGTCAGTTTGGAATGCTTACTAAGCAGAACGGACTGAAATCTGACCCTACATAAAACCACTAATCTGAACATACAGTGAGGGAAAAAAGTATTTGATCCCCTGCTGATTTTGTACGTTTGCCCACTGACAAATAAATGATCAGCCTATCATTTTAATGGTAGGTTTATTTGAACAGTGAGAGACAGAATAACAACAAAAAAATCCAGAAAAACGCATGTCAAAAATGTTATAAATTGATTTGCATTTTAATGAGGGAAATAAGTATTTGACCCCCTCTCAATCAGAAAGATTTCTGGCTCCCAGGTGTCTTTTATACAGTTAACGAGCTGAGATTAGGAGCATACTCTTAAAGGGAGTGCTCCTAATCTCAGCTTGTTACCTGTATAAAAGACACCTGTCCACAGAAGCAATCAATCAATCAGATTCCAAACTCTCCACCATGGCCAAGACCAAAGAGCTCTCCAAGGATGTCAGGGACAAGATTGTAGACCTACACAAGGCTGGAATGGGCTACAAGACCATCGCCAAGCAGCTTGGTGAGAAGGTGACAACAGTTGGTGCGATTATTCGCAAATGGAAGAAACACAAAAGAACTGTCAATCTCCCTCGGCCTGGGGCTCCATGCAAGATCTCACCTCGTGGAGTTGCAATGATCATGACAACGGTGAGGAATCAGCCCAGAACTACACGGGAGGATCTTGTCAATGATCTCAAGGCAGCTGGGAACATAGTCACCAAGAAAACAATTGGTAACACGCTACGCCGTGAAAGACTGAAATCCTGCAGCGCCCGCAAGGTCCCCCTGCTCAAGAAAACACATATACAGGCCCATCTGAAGTTTGCCAATGAACATCTGAATGATTCAGAGGAGAACTGGGTGAAAGTGTTGTGGTCAGATGAGACCAAAATCGAGCACTTTGGCATCAACTCAACTCGCCGTGTTTGGAGGAGGAGGAATGCTGCCTATGACTCCCAAGAACACCATCCCCACCGTCAAACATGGAGGTGGAAACATTATGCTTTGGGGGTGTTTTTCTGCTAAGGGGACAGGACAACTTCACCGCATCAAAGGGACGATGGACGGGGCCATGTACCGTCAAATCTTGGGTGAGAACCTCCTTCCCTCAGCCAGGGCATTGAAAATGGGTCGTGGATGGGTACTCCAGCATGACCATGACCCAAAACACACGGCCAAGTCAACAAAGGAGTGGCTCAAGAAGAGGCACATTAAGGTCCTGGAGTGGCCTAGTCAGTCTCCAGACCTTAATCCCATAGAAAATCTGTGGAGGGAGCTGAAGGTTCGAGTTGCCAAACGTCAGCCTCGAAACCTTAATGACTTGGAGAAGATCTGCAAAGAGGAGTGGGACAAAATCCCTCCTGAGATGTGTGCAAACCTGGTGGCCAACTACAAGAAACGTCTGACCTCTGTGATTGCCAACAAGGGTTTTGCCACCAAGTACTAAGTCATGTTTTGCAGAGGGATCAAATACTTATTTCCCTCATTAAAATGCAAATATATATATATAACATTTTTTACATGCGTTTTTCAGGATTTTTTTGTTGTTATTCTGTCTCTCACTGTTCAAATACACCTACCATTAAAATTATAGACTGATGATTTCTTTGTCAGTGGGCAAATGTACAAAATCAGCAGGGGATCAAATACTTTTTTCCCTCACTGTAATTATCAATTCAAATGTTGAAGCTCAACCCTCTACTAAGCCCTGCCAACAAGCCCCAACCCCATTCCTGACACCAAGCCCCAACCCCATTCCTAACAACAAGTCCCAGTCCCATTCCTGCCACCAAGCCCCAACCCCATTTATAACTACAAGTCCCAGTCCTATCAACACCTTTGGTGTCCAGCCCCAGTCCCTTTCCTCAACCCTGACAGCCATCCCTACCTGTGCCCTGTGTGAGGCCTCCTGCTGCTCCAGCTCTCCTCTCAGCAGGGTGATCCTGTGCTCCAGCAGACCAGAGACCCAGAGACCCAGGCTGTCCCTGTCTGTCTGGCTGTCCAGCTGCTCCCTCAGGAGGGTGTACTGGGCCAGGGTGTCCCCGTGACGCTGCTCCTGCCTCTGGTCCCCCCGCTGCACCCGCTCCCACAGCAGGGCCAGACCATGCTCCACCCGCTCCAAACGCTCCAGGCTCTCTGTGTCCACGGTGACTATGGGGGGAAGGACTGGCTGTAGGGGGAGATAGGGGAGAGACTGAAATAAAGGAGGGACACGGGGAGAGAAGGGGAGACAGGTTGCGGCAGAGAAGTGTAGTGAGAGGTTAGGAGAGTGGGAGAGAGAACAAAAAAGCTTGTTTTAGTCCAACATTCATGAGGCAGATGTATGTCATGAATTACCATATTCACACAATACAGACACAAAGTTCCCCCCCACTCTGTGAGAGACGCCCTCAGGCTTCTCAGGCGAGCTCCTCTCTTACCTGTGCCTGTGGGCCGGGGGGTGCTGGGGGGGTCTGCTCCAGGGGTGTGGTGGGGGTGGGGACCAGGGTAGATGATGAGAGGGTGAAGGGGGACACCACTCTGGAGCGCCACTCTGTCAGGTTTATGGCTGGAAGGTAGCAGAGGAAACTGGACGGACCCGAGAACCAAAACCCTGAGAGGAGAGGAGAGAGAAACAGGGAAATTAATCAACAGGAGCTACAGTATGCAACAACCGGCCTGTCTTTACTGTGAATGCAGTGAAAGCTTTATTGGTATAGCACCTGTTGTTTCTTAGGCTTGTATTGTTTTAGTTTTTTTGGTGTTTATGCATGAATTTGTGGATTTGATAGTAGCTTGTGGGTTTATGAATGCAAGTCAGTGCTTTTCTGTGTAGACTGTTAGTGTAGAAAGTACAGTGTGTAAAAGTGTAAGAGAGTTGTTCCACAGAGAGGGCTGGTTCTGTAGCTGTGTGCCCAGTAAGAGTGACCTAGATCTGGGGCTGGATTTGGAGCAAGCTCTGGGGGGCTGGTTAACAGCTCTGGTGCTACACAGCTGACAGATCGGCCTGTGTGTGTGTTAAGTAGGTTACGTCAGGTGAGCACACCGTTACTCACACAGGAGTAGCAGGATGGGAAGGAGGAAGAGAAGAAGCTTCCACATTCTGGGCAGGCACCTGAAAGACACCCACACAGTGAGCAAAACATACCTGAGAAACGCACACACACACACACACACACACACACACACACACACACACACACACACACACACACACCGTAAAACATAACCTGATAAGACACTGTAACCTTTCCTTCGTCAGATGAGAGAGAAATAATTGAATCAAAATGTAATATTTAAAAGTTGACTAAATAATTCAATCATCATATCTCTCATGTGCATCTAACTGACAGAACCCATCTACCCTGGCCCTTTGTTTTCATTATGACATTTCATCTGAAGAAATGACATATGCCTAAATATAATCAAAATATAATTCAATCTAATTAAGAATTATTGTGTTAGACAGAGCCTGCATAAGAACGGTCCTAAATATGTATCAAACATGCACAATGATAACAGGGTCAGTAGGCACCAAACAGAATAAAACAGACTGAAACAGGGAGGTGCAATATAAAATTGTCCAATAACAAACAAGTCACAGCCACAGTTAAATCTACAACCTTTGATAACAAAGGACAATAGTAGGTCAATAAAAGTCATCTACATATTTCTGAGAACTACAGGGGTCTAAGGTCACATAGTTAGATACAGTAGTGCAGGCTCTAACCGGGTCAGGAAGAATACGTTGAACAGAGACATGAGAGACACCAGCTGGTACCAGCCTGTCCCCAGACACCACAACAGCCCTCTGGCTGCTTTACCTGGGGGGGGGGGGGGGGGGGGGGGAGAGACAGGGGGAGAAAGAGAGAGAGTGAGAGGGGGGGAGAGAGAGAGCGAGATAGAGAGAGGGGGAGGGGGATCGTTACTGTAATGTAGTGTATGTATATACAGTGGGGGAAAAAAGTATTTAGTCAGCCACCAATTGTGCAAGTTCTCCCACTTAAAAAGATGAGAGAGGCCTGTAATTTTCATCATAGGTACACGTCAACTATGACAGACAAATTTAGAAAAAAAAATCCAGAAAATCACATTGTAGGATTTTTAATGAATTTATTTGCAAATTATGGTGGAAAATAAGTATTTGGTCACCTACAAACAAGCAAGATTTCTGGCTCCAACAGACCTGTAACTTCTTCTTTAAGAGGCTCCTCTGTCCTCCACTCGTTACCTATATTAATGGCACCTGTTTGAACTTGTTATCAGTATAAAAGACACCTGTCCACAACCTCAAACAGTCACACTCCAAACTCCACTATGGCCAAGACCAAAGAGCTGTCAAAGGACACCAGAAACAAAATTGTAGACCTGCACCAGGCTGGGAAGACTGAATCTGCAATAGGTAAGCAGCTTGGTTAGAAGAAATCAACTGTGGGAGCAATTATTATGAAATGGAAGACATACAAGACCACTGATAATCTCCCTCGATCTGGGGCTCCACGCAAGATCTCACCCCGTGGGGTCAAAATGATCACAAGAACGGTGAGCAAAAATCCCAGAACAACACGGGGGGACCTAGTGAATGACCTTCAGAGAGCTGGGACCAAAGTAACAAAGCCTACCATCAGTAACACACTACGCCACCAGGGACTCAAATCCTGCAGTGCCAGACGTGTCCCCCTGCTTAAGCCAGTACATGTCCAGGCCCGTCTGAAGTTTGCTAGAGTGCATTTGGATTATCCAGAAGAGGATTGGGAGAATGTCATATGGTCAGATGAAACCAAAATATAACTTTTTGGTAAAAACTAAACTCGTCGTGTTTGGAGGACAAAGAATGCTGAGTTGCATCCAAAGAACACCATACCTACTGTGAAGCATGGGGGTGGAAACATCATGCTTTGGGGCTGTTTTTCTGCAAAGGGACCAGGACGACTGATCCGTGTAAAGGAAAGAATGAATGGGGCCATGTATCGTGAGATTTTAAGTGAAAACCTCCTTCCATCAGCAAGGGCATTGAAGATGAAACGTGGCTGGGTCTTTCAGCATGACAATGATCCCAAACACACCGCCCGGGCAACGAAGGAGTGGCTTCGTAAGAAGCATTTCAAGGTCCTGGAGTGGCCTAGCCAGTCTCCAGATCTCAACCCCATAGAAAATCTTTGGAGGGAGTTGAAAGTCTGTGTTGCCCAGCGACAGCCCCAAAACATCACTGCTCTAGAGGAGATCTGCATGGAGGAATGGGCCAAAATACCAGCAACAGTGTGTGAAAACCTTGTGAAGACTTACAAAAAACGTTTGACCTGTGTCATTGCCAAAAAAGGGTATATAACAAAGTATTGAGAAACTTTTGTTATTGACCAAATACTTATTTTCCACCATAATTTGCAAATAAATTCATAAAAAATCCTACAATGTGATTTTCTGGATTTCTTTTCCTCATTTTGTCTGTCATAGTTGACGTGTACCTATGATGAAAATTACAGGCCTCTCTCATCTTTTTAAGTGGGAGAACTTGCACAATTGGTGGTTGACTAAATAGTTTTTTTCCCCACTGTAAGAAAGAGCAACTGATTAAACAACTAAATACTGATGATGAAGAGAGGGTGGATGCAACAGAGAGTAACTAACCTGGAGATGCCAGGACTAGCCACAGCACTGCCAGGAGTCTCTGAGCCACTGACTGTACTGCTGACCCCACTGCTGACCCCAGAGCCCGGCCTGCCCTCACTACATAGTAAGCTGGCTGGAGTAGACAGTGCCCTGGAAGGGTCAAAACAAACACACACAACGTTGGAACTTTCATTAGAAAAGGGTCTTTGTATGAAACTTTATGTGCTGCTATTTTGGCCAGGTCTCTCTTAAAAAAAAAATATATATATATATATATATATACAGTGAGGGAAAAAAGTATTTGATCCCCTGCTGATTTTGTACGTTTGCCCACTGACAAAGACATGATCCGTCTATAATTTTAATGGTAGGTTTATTTGAACAGTGAGAGACAGAATAACAACAAAAAAATCCAGAAAAATGCATGTCAAAAATGTTATAAATTGATTTGCATTTTAATGAGGGAAATAAGTATTTGACCCCTCTGCAAAACATGACTTAGTACTTGGTGGCAAAACCCTTGTTGGCAATCACAGAGGTCAGACGTTTCTTGTAGTTGGCCACCAGGTTTGCACACATCTCAGGAGGGATTTTGTCCCACTCCTCTTTGCAGATCTTCTCCAAGTCATTAAGGTTTCGAGGCTGACGTTTGGCAACTCGAACCTTCAGCTCCCTCCACAGATTTTCTATGGGATTAAGGTCTGGAGACTGGCTAGGCCACTCCAGGACCTTAATGTGCTTCTTCTTGAGCCACTCCTTTGTTGCCTTGGCCGTGTGTTTTGGGTCATTGTCATGCTGGAATACCCATCCACGACCCATTTTCAATGCCCTGGCTGAGGGAAGGAGGTTCTCACCCAAGATTTGAAGGTACATGGCCCCGTCCATCGTCCCTTTGATGCGGTGAAGTTGTCCTGTCCCCTTAGCAGAAAAACACCCCCAAAGAATAATGTTTCCACCTCCATGTTTGACGGTGGGGATGGTGTTCTTGGGGTCATAGGCAACATTCCTCCTCCTCCAAACACGGCGAGTTGAGTTGATGCCAAAGAGCTCGATTTTGGTCTCATCTGACCACAACACTTTCACCCAGTTCTCCTCTGAATCATTCAGATGTTCATTGGCAAACTTCAGACGGGCCTGTATATGTGCTTTCTTGAGTAGGGGGACGTTGCGGGCGCTGCAGGATTTCAGTCCTTCACGGCGTAGTGTGTTACCAATAGTTTTCTTGTTGACTATGGTCCCAGCTGCCTTGAGATCATTGACAAGATCCTCCCGTGTAGTTCTGGGCTGATTCCTCACCGTTCTCATGATCATTGCAACTCCACGAGGTGAGATCTTGCATGGAGCCCCAGGCCGAGGGAGATTGACAGTTCTTTTGTGTTTCTTCCATTTGCGAATAATCGCACCAACTGTTGTCACCTTCTCACCAAGCTGCTTGGCAATGGTCTTGTAGCCCATTCCAGCCTTGTGTAGGTCTACAATCTTGTCCCTGACATCCTTGGAGAGCTCTTTGGTCTTGGCCATGGTGGAGAGTTTGGAATCTGATTGATTGATTGCTTCTGTGGACAGGTGTCTTTTATACAGGTAACAAGCTGAGATTAGGAGCACTCCCTTTAAGAGTGTGCCCCTAATCTCAGCTCGTTACCTGTATAAAAGACACCTGGGAGCCAGAAATCTTTCTGATTGAGAGGGGGTCAAATACTTATTTCCCTCATTAAAATGCAAATCAATTTATAACATTTTTGACATGCGTGTTTCCGGATTTTTTTGTTGTTGTTATTCTGTCTCTCACTGTTCAAATAAATCTACCATTAAAATTATAGACTGATCATTTTTTTGTCAGTGGGCAAACATACAAAATCAGCAGGGGATCAAATACTTTTTTCCCTCACTGTATATATATATATATATATATATATATATATATATATATATATATATATATATATATATATATATTTTATCTCAACGTCAATGAGACTAACCTGGTAAAATAAAAAACAACATCGTAGTGATTCAATTAGGTAAATAGAGTGGTAATGACATGGTAATAACAAATGCTGGGCATTAGGACAATTAAAAGGACTGAGGCTTCAGTTCACAACTGATTTCAGATCAGCTCTCTGGAGCCTATTCCTGACCTCAACCACTATCAGCCGTGCAACAAAACAGGTCCTGGACCAGTAGCGGAAGGAAGGGATTATTATTTCCCCACACCCACACATAGTTTGTATATAATTTGCATTGATGTCAATGAGAGATTCCATGAAAAGTCTATGTGTGCAAGGTTTATAAAGCAACGAGTCAATATTAGCAGGGTCGTATTCATTAGGCACCAAACAGAATCAAACTAACTGAGTCAGGGAGGGACTACCTGAACTTGTCCAATAAGAAATGCTTGATTTTAGTTTCTGTTGCAGAACATTTTTGCTACGGTTTGCACCAATGAATACGACTCTGATGTATGTGTATTAGGTCAGTAAGGAAGGAAGCCAGGGAAGGAGGCAGGGGGTTAACCTGCATGTGTATTACGTTATTAAGGAAGGAAACCAGGAGGAGGAAGGTGTTTAACCTATATGTATATTAGGCTATTAAGGAAGGAAGCCAGGGAGAGGAGGAAGGGGGTTAACCTGCATGTTTATTGCATCAGGAAGGAAGGAAACCAGGAGGAGGAGGAAGGGGGTTAACCTGTGTAAGCTATAAGGGTCCACAGAGCCCCCAGTAGACGGTGAGTCCTGGAGGTCTGTGTGTGACTGTGGACCAGTGTGTGGGTCTCCAGGTGCTGCTTCCCTTTACAGTCGTCACCTGAGGCAGACCACATGACAGATGGATGGCAGACAAGAAGGAAAACAAAACATAACACAAACAAATGAATGAATGAATGAATAATGATGTAAAATGAAATGACAATTAAAAAAAATTGATGTAACTTAACAAATCAGAAGTCAATTGAAAGTTCTAAATAATGTATGCAATGTAAAATCATTCAAATAAAATTAATAGAACAAAAAGGAACGTTATACATCTTCCTAAGTCTGAGGGTGGTTTTAACTCGCTACCCAAGGCTTTTACTTGCGACATATAGTTGAATTCACTAAATAGGAACAATGGGTACATATTGAAGATGCGCACGCTCATCCCCAGAATCTTTTTAGGTGTCTATTTTCAAAGGGTAAAGCTAAGAACATTAACAACTTCATAGTTAAGAACACTATAACGATACGGAAGAAAATGAAACGTATTTTACCAAAATAACCAATAACACTCCCTAGAAACACAACCTTATGGAACGATACTTGGATAGGTTTTCAGAATGCATCGATAAATTGGTCCACATGGAAAACTAAAGGCATAGAAACCATAAATGACTTGGTAATAGGAAATACATTTATTTCCATGACAGAATAAAAAAGTAATTTTGGACCAATGTAGATGTAAAAGTTACTTATCATGACATTTCTATTTGAAATCTTTTGGACATCAGAGCAACCTTGAGGGAGTCAGAAAAGGATGCTCATATGATAGGGAATATCTACAAAACCTTGAGGAGAGCATATCCAATTGACAATCTCTTCAAAAAAAAAAAAAAAACTATTGGAACCAAGATTTAAAAAGAACTGATGTTGGCACAAGATGGAGGGAAAGTTAGAGCATAACTAACGATAATGTATGCTTAATCCAGTATAAACTAATGTATAGAATGTATTATGCAAGAGAACAATTCTGAAATTCTACAGCACAACGGTGAAGTCATGTCTCAAGTGTAAAACTAATAATGACTCAATAATCCATGCTTTCTGGGAATGCTATAAAGTTCTGAAGTAATGGGCGGAGCTAGAAAGTTGGCTGTCAGAATTATTACAATGTAAACTTACTTTGAATCCATCTGTCTGCATATTTCAAGACATGACATATGGGGTGTAGTGAGATACCCAATGGGCTGGACCATTCTTTTCTCATCACTCATTTTGAAAAAACATATACTAAAAACTTTCAGTCATTCAATCCAACATCATTAACACAATGAAAATATTATGGGTGACTCAGAAAAACAAATTAGTACAATTTAAGACCAAGTGGCAACAATAATGCAGGCAGTAGGGATGGGGGTGTGAGCATGTGGGTCTGGGCAGATGAGATGTAGTCATTGTTCGTGTGTGTGTGTAAGTAGTAGTTCGTATACGTTTGTTTTTGGAATGTAAAAAAAAAAGAAAAGGAAAATAAAATATTATAAAAAATGCTTTTGAATGAGTGAAATGTCCCCAGTGTAAAAACTGCAACACAGTTATCATTTTATTATTTCATTTGTACATTTAGCAGACGCTCTTATCCAGAGCGACTTACAGTAGCGCATACATTTTCATACTGGATCCCCCGTGGGAATCGATTCCCACAACCCTGGCGTTGCAAGCGCCATGCTCTACTAACTAACTTTATTGCAATCAAAATGCGTTGATGATCAAATCTCACAACAAAGGAACCACATTAATACGAAAAAGCAATCTTCTGTGATGTAAGCATGTGCAAAAAGAAAACCAGGAACGTTGCCTATCTCTTTGGTGACACAGCCCATCCCTTCCTCCCTCCCTCCTCTCCAGACGTTTGGTAAGCGCCTTCTGTGTCAAACAGGCCTTTGTTCTCTGTTTGATGTTTGTTCAACTGCATTCTCAGGATCGTTTGTCACGCCAGTGTCATTTAGGAAGATGTTAGATAAGACATGTAACCCTACAGGACTAGCCATTTCTTCTCCCATTTTCATTGAAAACAATCTTTGAAGTGAAACATTCACACATTCACAGAGATACATCTGATTGATCTTTATGGGTTCAGGCCCTTAAAAAAGACTTCTAAGTGCTTGTATGGAAACACACAAACACCTGCTGTATCTGACTAGGGAGGCCAGTAGCCAGAGTATAGTCACTGACTGGTGAAAGAGGCGTGACCGACTGGTCACTGGCCCTAGTTGTTCACATAACCCCTGTGCACTGATCTGGAAATAGGTCACGCATAGAATTAACTCTGTGTCAGAAAGTGGCCCCCTGCCACGTATAGAGCACTTGAGAGGGAATTTGTGTGTGTGTGCACGCACATGTGTGTGTGTGTGTGTGTGTGTGTGTGTGTGTGTGTGTGTGTGTGAGCGTGTTGGCTACTTACACAACGAGCCATTCAAAAAGTGTCCGTCTCCCGTCACGTGGTCTTTTACATTCATGCTCCCACAGTAACTGGAGTGAGCTGCAACACAACAACAAACTATGAATAATCATATTTACATACCAAAACATTCCATTCTGCAGGCGAGTGGCGACCAAGAGTGTGTGACGCATTGTATATTACAACACACAAAGAGAGGGTAAGAGGGACATTTGCATGTCACCAAGGGAACCAACCAAAGTGGAAAGAAGCCCATTTGTTTATGACGTAATCAAGAGGACCTGTATGAAACCTGAGATGGATGAAGAGAGAAAACACATAAACAAAACAGACACACAGACAGAGACAGAGAGAGCAAGAGAGAGAGAGAGAGACAGAGCGAGCAAGAGAGAGAGACAGAGAGAGAGAGAGAGAGAGAGAGAGACAGAGAGAGAGAGAGAGAGAGAGACAGAGAGAGAGAGAGAGCAAAAGAGAGAGAGAGAGACAGAGAGAGAGAGAGAGACAGAGAGAGAGAGAGAGAGAGAGAGAGAGAGCAAAAGAGAGAGAGAGAGACAGAGAGAGAGAGAGAGACAGAGAGAGAGAGAGAGAGAGAGACAGAGAGAGAGAGAGAGAGAGAGAGAGAGAGAGAGCAAGAGAGAGAGAGAGAGACAGAGAGAGAGAGAGAGAGAGAGAGAGAGAGAGAGAGAGAGAGAGAGAGAGAGAGACAGAGAGAGAGTGTGTGTAGGGGGGAAACAAAGACTAGTGACAGACAGTGAGGTGGTACAGGAGTTCTGTCTCTGTCCCTTTAAGAAGGATGGAGGACTGTTTCATTGATGAGCATGCAGTGGTAGATGGACAGAGCTGGAGAGAGATACTCTGAAAGAGAGTTCTCTATGGTGAAACTACACAGTAGAAAACAGCATCGGTACATACTGTGGAGAGAAGCATTCCTCTACATTATAATTCCACCAAACCATTACTATACATGCACAGTTAAACTTATGCCCAGCCTTCACAGATACTTTTTCACAGACACAGAAATGCAAAGACCAAGAGCTTGAGAAATAAATGTTGAGTCGGCAGACAGTGGAAATAGAGGGCTGAAGAAAAGAGGGTCACTGAGTCAGTGTTGATGGTCAGTGTTGATGATCGATGACCTTTGACCCATGCCGGCGGTGGGTCAGGTACCTTTGCCTTCGTAGCTGTTGGCCCTGTAGCCCATCATCCTGTGGAGAGTGGTCTGCTTAAAGAACCAAGAGACGCAGGACGCGCTGGAGGAAACAGCCCGTCTGGCCCTGTCTAAGAGGGACGCCAGAACACCTAGTGACACAACCATACCACACATCAAAGGTCAGGTCAGACAATGTGTCTGTTAAACCCCCATCCCCTTTCTAGCACGGGACCAGATCAGTATTTAGCTTTATTTAGCCGACTAAAACTCTGACTAATGTTAAGGCCCATACAGATCTTGGACCAGGCTATTCCATTTCCACCTCTAACGTCAGATTTTTGAGGCCGGGAAGAGACAGGAGTGGAAGAGTACTGGATATTCACCAGCTCACCCTGAGGAAGCAGGGCAGGTGAGGAAAAGAGAGCAGTGAGGCATGATGAGGTCACATAAAAATATATGACTTTATGACTGATGACCAGGCTGTGCAGGAGGAAGAGGAGAGACCAGACAGCAGGAGGAACAGCAGAGACAGGACATCAGGAGGAACAAGACAGCAGGAGGAAGAGGAGAGACAGGACAGCAGGAGGAACAGCAGAGACAGGACAGCAGGAGGAACAAGACAGCAGGAGGAAGAGGAGAGACCAGACAGCAGGAGGAACAGCAGAGACAGGACAGCAGGAGGAACAAGACAGCAGGAGGAAGAGGAGAGACCAGACAGCAGGAGGAACAGCAGAGACAGGACAGCAGGAGGAACAAGACAGCAGGAGGAAGAGGAGAGACCAGACAGCAGGAGGAACAGCAGAGACAGGACAGCAGGAGGAACAAGACAGCAGGAGGAAGCGGAGAGACAGGACAGCAGGAGGAACAGCAGAGACAGGACAGCAGGAGGAACAAGACAGCAGGAGGAAGAGGAGAGACAGGACAGCAGGAGGAACAGCAGAGACAGGACAGCAGGAGGAACAAGACAGCAGGAGGAAGAGGAGAGACCAGACAGCAGGAGGAACAGCAGAGACAGGACAGCAGGAGGAACAAGACAGCAGGAGGAAGCGGAGAGACAGGACAGCAGGAGGGACAGCAGGAGGAAGAGGAGAGACAGGACAGCAGGAGGAAGAGGAGAGACAGGACAGCAGGAGGAACAAGACAGCAGGGGGATGAGGAGAGAGGACAGTTCAAAGAGCCTGTGAAAATATATATTTTTATAGCCCTATTATGATTAACTGGAGTCCAGTCCCTTGAGACTATCAGGTTGAACAGCTTTGAATAAATCAAACCATGAAAGACAGTAAAAAAAAAGAGAGCGATTGATCAGGTGGGAAGGGAAGTAGTATCATGGGGGAATTCAGTGAAGTAAAACGTGCAGATAGAAATACAATGAATAGAGATGATATGATGCCAAATTGTGCACCATATCTGTTCTACATAATGCATTTCTATGTGAACGTTTTGTAATGTTGCGCCCATCTGAACAGACCCGAGTAGTAAGCATCTCTTATACCTTTGCCTGAGTGGCTCCTGGCCCTAGTGCCCAGCCACAGAACGTTCTGGAAGAGCAGTGTCACCAGGGACACTATAGGGGCCAGGGCTCGTCTGCTGTGGTGGACACACGTGTTAGACACTGACACCAGGAGACCTAGACAGAGAAAGGTTGGCAGGTTAGTTAACTTAATCGGACATATAAAAGTTAGAGAAATGGGTCCTTCTCCTTAGTGGAAACCCACATAGCCTTAGCACTAACAAGCAAACAGAAACAGAGAAACACACAAGAAATGGCTGGTTGACTGATCATTTGAATTTGTTTTGGGCATTCTGGGCTTTTAAGGTAGTCTTCTAACGGGACTCTTTTTTATAAATTAAGGAAACAGTGTGATATGCACAGGTTTGTAAACCATCAAACAGAAAGGACCTCCTGTTTACCTTTATCCTAGGACAGGAACACTGGGTCGTGTTCATTAGGGAATGCAACAGAAAGCGTTTTGCAACAGAAAATGAGCGTCCAGGTTGTCCCTCCATGTTTCAGTCTGTTTTCTTCCGTTTGGTGCCTAATGAACACAACCCTGTTTCACTCCCCAGTCAGTTGTGTGCACACTAGGTACGGTTCTCACCTGTCTTGTTCCTCTGACTCTTGTCCGTGCAGTATAAACTGGAGGATGAGGCTGATGATGATGATGCTGATGATGAGGAGACGGCGGCAGCAGCTGCTGCAGCAGAGGCAGCCTGAGTTGACGAAGAGGAGGAGGAGAGGGCGGCGGCAGCTGCTGCAGCAGAGCCAGCCTGAGACGTGGAAGAGGAGGAGGAAGAGTATGTGGTGAGGGCTTCTTTCCTCTCAGAGTGTATGGAACAGTCTTTACAGATGTAACCGTTGGCGACCATGGCGTGGCTGTGCGACACAGTGTTGACGCCGCCGTTCGCACCCGTTGAGCTGTAGTCTGTCCTTGAACTCCTCCCTGGGGAAAACACACACACAAGAGGAACATTTTTAAGTACAAATCTGACTAGAAAACCATTTCTTCATATATTTCTATGGTCTCAAAATATAATTATTTTGCACATCAGAGCTAGCCTTAAAGCAAGCCTGTGTTTACTTCCTGGAAAAGTGTTGTGATGATGTGTAATAAAAGATCCCTACTCAGGTGAATGCACACAAATATCATTATAATGTATGGTGAAGACTCACCTTTCAGATTGGTATCCTGATCTGAACGTAGAGGGAATAAAGCATTATCAAATCATCAAAGCCAATGGGAGATCATTGAATACTGATTAATTAATTGTATTGGGTCACACAGGTAATAACGCAGCTAATCTCCGTAAAACCACATCAAAGGGATTAAATGGAAAGATTATACAGTCAGCCTGCCCCGTCTCTCCCCTGGTAATCCCACAAACCATTCATCATTCCTGCCTTACATATCAGATAGACACACAAACAACAAACTGCAGTAATTAAAATTAGCATGCTAACTAGTTAGCTTAAACTGCTACAGTCCTAGTTTTACCTCATATTCTAATGCGGTTGACTGGTCCCAGACCTGTGCTTTAGCCATCGTATGATAGATTGTCTGACCATACCTGTCATCTCAAGCCAACGATAGTCAGAGGAGTTGGCTAATGCACATACCGTACAGGTCTGGGAACCAGAATAGAGCTAATGTATCCTCTCTATCAAACGTAACCCTTCCTCTGATCGTATGACCCATGCCCTGCCCTTTGCCCCTGGACTGACCCCTGTAGCCGTCTGTGGTAGTAGTGGTGGAAGTAGTGGTGGACCGCTGGCGGAGGTTGGAATGGTCCAGGATGGAGGAGACCAGGGAGGCATCGCTGACAGTGGTGCAGCCTGTAGTGGGAGTGTTGGTGGTGAAGAAGGAGAGGGTCTTGCGTGGCGTCTGGTTCAGAGACAGGGACAGGGACTGGTTCAGGGACTGAGACAGGGACTGGGAGCTGGAGGCAGACTGCTGCTGTTTTCTGCTCCTCACCATCCTGACACACAGGAGAGAGATTGGTAGGGATGATAGAAGTCAGTGTGTGCCTGATATCAGTGTTCTCTGGTATCATCCGTTTTAATGTTAATATCAGGAAAGCAAACGCAAGAGTGCGTATGTGTGAATTGGGCATGACTCATTCCTGTTAGCTTAACTGACTCTCCTATGGACCCTAGTCTTAACGTGACTCTCCACGGACCTGTGTGTCTTAGTGACTTTATGACCTGTGAGTTTCTGACCCTGATGACCTGTTGTAGTCAACGATGATCACGAGGACTGTGGCTTTGAAATGACCTACTCTGGGACCGTGAGCTAATGACCTCTCTATCAACCGTGTAAGCTTTCTCTCTCGATGGACCCTGTGCTACCTGACCTTCTCCTGACTGACCCTGTGAGCCGTTCTTGACTGGACTGTGTGGTTTAATGCCCTCTTGACTGGACGGAGTTAATGATCCGGATGGAGGTAGTCTACCATGACATCGCTGCATGTGACCTGTAGTCGTGAGTTGTGGTGGTGATTTAAGAATGACTCTTCTGGCGACCTGGTTCTAGACATGGACGGGACGGGTTTATACTGAACGGACTTGACTGGAGGAACGCTGTGTTTTCTGCTCCTGACACCTGGACTACACAGGAGTCTTGGTACGGTGTAGTAATAGTGATGCTCTGATTATGACAATGTGTTTGTCTCTGTGTGTATCAGGGACCTGTGTTAATTTAAATGAGCTATTTGTCGACCTTGTGTCTCAACAGTGACGTTTGTGGTGTGTGTGTCCATTGACTCCATTCCCCTGTGTAGTCTTAACATGACTCTCTCTGACTGGACCCTGTGTAGTCTTAACATGACTCTCTCTGACTGGACCCTGTGTAGTCTTAACATGACTCTCTCTGACTGGACCCTGTGTAGTCTTAACATGACTCTCTCTGACTGGACCCTGTGTAGTCTTAACATGACTCTCTCTGACTGGACCCTGTGTAGTCTTACCGTGACTCTCTCTGACTGGACCCTGTGTAGTTTTACCATGACTCTCTCTGACTGGACCCTGTGTAGTCTTACCATGACACTCTCTGACTTGACCCTGTGTAGTCTTACCGTGACTCTCTCTGACTGGACCCTGTGTAGTCTTAACATGACTCTCTCTGACTGGACCCAGTGTAGTTTACATGACTCTCTCTGACTGGACCCTGTGTGTTTTACATGACTCTCTCTGACTGGACCTGTGTAGTCTTACCGTGACTCTCTCTGACTGGACCCTGTGTAGTTTAACATGACTCTCTCTGACTGGACCCTGTGTAGTCTTACCGTGACTCTCTCTGACTGGACCCTGTATAGTCTTACCGTGACTCTCTCTGACTGGACCCTGTGTAGTTTTACCACGACTCTCTCTGACTGGACCCTGTGTAGTTTTACCGTGACTCTCTCTGACTGGACCCTGTGTAGTTTTACCATGACTCTCTCTGACTGGACCCTGTGTAGTCTTACCATGACTCTCTCTGACTGGACCCTGTGTAGTCTTAACATGACTCTCTCTGACTGGACCCTGTGTAGTTTAACAGACTCTCTCTGACTGGACCCTGTGTAGTCTTACCGTGACTCTCTCTGACTGGACCCTGTGTAGTTTTACCATGACTCTCTCTGACTGGACCCTGTGTAGTTTTACCGTGACTCTCTCTGACTGGACCCTGTGTAGTTTTACCACGACTCTCTCTGACTGGACCCTGTGTAGTCTTACGTGACTCTCTCTGACTGGACCCTGTGTAGTCTTACCGTGACTCTCTCTGACTGGACCCTGTGTAGTTTTACCATGACTCTCTCTGACTGGACCCTGTGTAGTCTTACCATGACTCTGTCCGACTGGACCCTCCGCTGCTGTGGTTCTGGGAGGAGAAGTCAGCCAGGCTGTCGTTGCCATAGAGACCGCCCGTGGTCTGCAGACGCAGGCTCCGCCGCGACATCCTGGGCGAGTTGAACACGGGAGCGATCTGATGCGCCTTCTCAAACTCTAGGGCCACAGTCGAGTAGCTGGAGCTAAGGACAGAAGGAAAGGGAAATAGAGAGCAGGAGAAAGAGATGAGAGGGGAGGAGAGGAAGAGAGAATATGGCAAGAGAGTGGGATAGTGAGATGGAAAAGAAAGAGGAAAGAGAGGACAGGGGAAGAGAGATTATACAGTGTGATATAGCAAGAGAGACAGAGCAAGGGAGAAGAAATGAGATGGCAAGAAAGAGAGGGAGAGAGAGAAACAGAGGGAGAGAGAGGGAGAGAGAAAAACTCAATCACAGTGCCTGAGCTTCTTATAATTTGCTGCAGGCCAATCAGAGGCCTTGGTCTGAGTCAGACCAGGACTTCTGTGGTTTCAGCTTACCTCAACAACCCTCTCCCTCTGAGTCAGTCAGGGCCAGTATTGATAATGGTTAACTTATTCATTATCACCTAAAAGGCTAAACTGATCCCAGATCAGCACTCCTACTCTAAGAGCTTTACTAATGCAGGCCCAGAGCTTAGTTAGCGTAACATGATTAATACGGACATTCCCAACCTTCTCCCATCCATTGTCTGTATCTTAGTCACACATATCAACTAGACAGAGACTTTGTTTTGTAAACAACAGCAACACAGCATTGGGAAACCTGTAGCAGCTCAGTAGGGAGAGAATGTTACCACAGGAACTGTTCTGGAGCTGAACACTGGGCCCTCTCAGGAAATGAACTCACCCAATTAAAAATACAAATGGAGGAAGATGAGGCTGCGTGTGAAAGAGGAGAGAGGCCCCTTCTGGGGCCTTCAGACAGATAGTGGAATGGATAAGGACACTGTATACCAGTCCCATGTGGCTTAGTTGGTAGAGCATGGTGCTTGCAACACCAGGGTTGTGGGTTCGATTCCCACGGGGGACCAGTATGAAAAAGTATGAAAATATATGCACCCTCTGGGTGAGCTCGTCTGCGAAGTGTAAAAAATGTAAATGTAAAAAATATACCAGTTTGAGCCAGTAAGATGTGGAGATGGAATGTAAATATTATGAATATAGAATTGGACTCTTCTGCAGCAGTAGCTAGAAACTATCTGACTCACTCATACCAGACCACACCCCCTGGATGATTATGCAGGCAGGGCCAAGACCAGTGCCAACATTCCAACACAGAACACAACTAAATCATTAATGCCACATTGGCTCTTATAAACAGATCCTTTCAGATAGTATTCTTGTCTATTGCTTGTGTACACACACACACACACACACACACACACACACACACACACACAATAAGTTACTAACAATTGTGATCTGATGTTAAACACACAGCAGTAGGGTAATATTCTCCTACAGTAGGTTGTGTCTCCTCTCCTTTGTATTTCAGTCATCTAAATCCCCCTGACAGACAAGCAAGGCAGTTGAGGAGGAGAACAGCATCTTAGCTGACTGACTGGAGGACTGTGTTCAAGAACTTCCCTTCCTGTAATGGACATGGGAGGCGGGAACAAAATGTAAGCACAAACACATGGTCTCGTTCAATGTTGCTACCACAACAGTGAGAGTCCATAAGACAAAATTCTGAACGGCTCTGGCTGTAGAGGCCTCCTCTATCAGTCAATCCCCAGGCCTGTGTGTGTTGTGTCTGTGTGTGTGTGTCCTCCTGGCCCTAAGACATCAGGATTACACCATCCCATCCAGAGCCAATTATGGGCTTTGCTTTCCTCCTGCCTGCTGCTCCACCTGGCTCTCCTTCACACACCAACACCTCTGACTGTGACTGCGTGCTCTTCCACAGAGTGTGTGCTCTTCTAGGGAGTGTGTGCTGTTCTAGGGAGTGTGTGTTCTTCCTGGGAGTGTGTGTTCTTCCTGGGAGTGTGTGTTCTTCCTGGGAGTGTGTGTTCTTCCAGAGAGTGTGTGTTCTTCCAGAGAGTGTGTGTTCTTCCTGGGAGTGTGTGTTCTTCCAGAGAGTGTGTGTTCTTCCAGAGAGTGTGTGTTCTTCCAGAGAGTGTGTGTTCTTCCAGAGAGTGTGTGTTCTTCCTGGGAGTGTGTGTTCTTCCAGAGAGTGTGTGTTCTTCCTGGGAGTGTGTGTTCTTCCAGAGAGTGTGTGTTCTTCCTGGGAGTGTGTGTTCTTCCAGAGAGTGTGTGTTCTTCCAGAGAGTGTGTGTTCTTCCAGAGAGGTGGTGTTCTTCCAGAGAGTGTGTGTTTCTTCCTGGGAGTGTGTGTTCTTCCAGAGAGTGGTGTGTTCTTCCAGGGAGTGTGTGTTCTTCCAGAGAGTGTTTCCGGTGTGTCTCTTCCGGGGAGTGTGTGCCCACTACAGACCATGCTAGAGGCCACACCAGGTTGGATGGGATATTAGCAGAGAGTTGTCTATGTTGTTACCCCACACACTATGTTCGTGTGTTTAATATACTGTATATGTCCGCACTATGAGGTTGGAATAATACTGTGAAATTGTGAAAATTATGACAATGCCCTTTTAGTATAAGAGCTGTTTGAAAAGACTGCCTGAAATGTCAGCCTGTTTTGGTGGGATGGAGTTTTGGCATGCCTGATGACCTCACCAGGTGGCAAATTTGTTAACAGACCAATAAGAGAGTTCCAAACCTCTCTGCCAATAACAGCTAGTTTTCAGTTTTCCCCTCCCCACTCAGACCACTCCCAGACAGTCCTAGCAAAATTCTTGCTTGAGAAATTGCTCTTTGCTAAGAAGCTATTTTTGTTTACTTCATTTTAATAGAAAATCACAGTACGGTACTTATTTGTTACCCAGAAATGATTTAATATTGATATGAAAACGGCTGCATTTGACCTTTAAGAATACCCTGTGTGCCCCTGTTCCCCACCCCATGTTATGTGGACTGTCTCCTGTCTACCCCCCAACTTACTAATACCCAGGCTAGCGGCTGTGTCAGGACTGTAGAGGGCAGCTTTACCCACACAGGGGGTCACACTGTGACCGTCTGCAGTGCCAAGGTCACTCTGCCCCCCTGTAGGGCACACATGCTCCCTGGAGGGCACTGCTAGGGTGAGAGAGAGCACTGATAAGTCAAGGGGGACTGGGGACTACAAACTGACTGTTTTTAATTTACTACCTGGAACCATGCTGATATCTGCACTGACTGTAAAGGTCAGAAGGAACCCAGAATAACCCATGATTGCATGGCAGCTCACAGAGCTCAGAAGAGAATAACACAGCACTGCCTACAAATAATCCTGCAGCAACAGAAATTGTGAAAAATGATGTAGATTATAATTAAATTAACATTTTTGTAGGGGTTTCGTAAGGGAAAATCTAGACTGAAATTTCAAAGTGGAAATTACAAACTTCAGAAGCCATTTTAAACCTTAAATACACTACAAGTTTTACATTTCCTGCTTAGTAGGAAAGTTCTCTTGCAACAGGGTGATCAAATTAAGATCCTACATCTGTACATGTAGAGCAGGATATTAAGCACTACATGCTTCTCTCTCTCACACTGTCCTCCGTGTGTATGTGGAGGCTACTGCAGCAGGAGTTAGCCTAGTGCAGAGTTAATAAGGCAGCTTTCATCAGACTCTGCACTATACTACCCTCCAGAACGATCACACACAGCGGAGCAGTTTCCTCTACTAGGCCTCACAGTGTGTGTGTGTGTGTGTGTGTGTGTGTGTGTGTGTGTGTGTCGACCCTAATGGTCTGCAGTCTCTAGCATTTCTGTTTTCAGACCTGGTACAATAGGTTAATGGACAGCCAATCAATGACACACACACAAATAACACCTCTAAAAACTTGTGTTTAACAATTCTCACACACACCTCCACCACCACTATTGATTGAGCTTGTTAAGACCTCAGCACATCACATCGTCTTGCTTGCAAACACACATTTCAATTCGCTATTGGTCTCTGTATCGATCCATATGAGTATCCCTTGGCTAAACCGCCCCCACACCAGATATCAAAGTAGACTGGACACTGACCAAAAGCAGAGAGAGAAAACGCATAAATCTCCTTCACTATTACACTTCTCCTCCTTCACTGTTCTCTTACACAACAACGAGAGCTTTGATGCTCAGTCCTCCCACACTCAGTGGGTACTGCCAGTTCTCCGATGGTGTACTAACGAACCAGAGAGAGATCAGATCACCCAGGAATTTAGCCTACATAGTACAACCACTGAGGTTTCTTTCAAACACGTATTGAAGCTCAGGGGTAACCTACTAGCTTTCCTTTCGTTTATTGTATCATGGATGAGGACTTTATAATAATCATTGACCTGCAGAGAAAGTCCACTGAAATCCAAATTGAATTCATGTTTGCTGAATATAATTACATCATTTCCTGGGAGCAACTGCCAGATCCCCATTTCCCTCATATTAATATAACCTCCCCTGACAGATCCTCATATTAATCTAACCTCCCCTGACAGATCCTCATATTAATCTAACCTCCCCTGACAGATCCTCATATTAATCTAACCTCCCTTGACATATCCTCATTATCCTCATATGAATCTAAGCTCCCCTGACAGATCCTCATATTAATCTAACCTCCCCTGACAGATCCTCATTACCCTCACATTAATCTAAGCTCCACTGACAGATCCTCATTACCCTCATATGAATCTAACCTCCCCTGACAGATCCTCATATGAATCTAACCTCCCCTGACAGATCCTCATATGAATCTAACCTCCCCTGACAGATCCTCATATGAATCTAACCTCCCCTGACAGATCCTCATATTAATCTAACCTCCCCTGACAGATCCTCATATTAATCTAACCTCCCCTGACAGATCCTCCAGGGCGTGACAAACTTCTTTAGCCACTTGTCCTTCGGACAAATAGGACAGATTTTTTACTCGTCCGAAAGCTGAAGTCACTTGTCCCAACAACAACAAAGTCCCTAACACCATCGGACAAAGGATGACTGAAAATGAGTGAAGTACATAGGAGGGATCTGTAGGAGGGATCTGTAGGAGGGATCTGAAATAATGTTCTGCGATTGCCCATAGACCACTGTGTCAAACTCGTTCCACGGAGGGCCTAGTTTCTACGGGTTTTCGCTCCTC